GAGGATATAAGGAAAGGGTGATGGAGGGAAAATATGGTAAATATTATGTACTCATATATGAAAATGGAAAAATGAGACCTGTTGAAACTATTTCAGGAATGGGGAAGGGGGATAAAGGAGACTGATGGAGGGGGTGAATTCAACTATGATATATTGTAAGAACTCTTGTAAATGTCACAATGTGCCACTACAATAATAATTTTTAAAAACAAAATACTGTCATTGTGGAGATCATTGGATTATGTAATTATTGGTGTGTTAAAGTTTTTATTAATGTTGGTTTGATAGGCATAGAAACTTTGACATAACTGTTTTGGTTTTAGAAAACAGTACAATGCTGGTCATTGGAAAATTTATAATAAGCAAAAATCATTTCAAATCGTGAATTTTGTCAAAGATATATTCCCTGGCAGTTATCTTCCAGAATGTAAAAAACTAGGTTTGGAAGACCTAAATTCAACATCTGTTTCTGCTACTAATTTGTACACAACCTGGAAAGTCACTGGGTTTCCCTAAGTTTCTGTTTTTTTCATGTTTAAATTGAACTGGTAATACCAGCACTTGGGAGGTAGATTTTGAGGTCAGCCTGGGTTACATGGTGAATTCAAGGCCAGCCTGGGCTACATATGAAGACCCTACCTCCAAAAGAAGAAGCAGAAGAGGAAGAAGAAGAAGAGGAAGTTATTATTTTTTTTCTTTTTGCAGTGCTGGGGTTTGAACACAGAGCCTACACCTTGAGCCAGTCTACTAGACCTGTTTTTGTGATTGGGTTTTTTAAGATAGAGTCTTGTGACCTATTTGCCTGGGCTGGCTTGGAACTGTGATCCTCCTGATCTCTGCTTCCTGAGTAGCTAGGATTCATAAGCGTGAGCCACCAGTGCCTGGCAGCCTTACACTTGCTAGACAGGCACTTTACCTCTTGAGCCATTCTGCCAGCTAAGTTAAGTGATCTTGAACACGAAGTTGGACTAATAAATTCACCACAATAGCTCCCAAAGTCTGACATAGCAAGTGGTATATGCTTATCATTCAATAAATATTTGTTGCATGAACTTGTGATGTATTTATAATTGTGGCATTCTATAATAATTCTATGGTAGAAGAAATTTTTTAAAAATATGAAACTGTCACAATACAAACATACACACAAATACAAAAGAGATGCTAAGTATTAATTGAGTTTTATATAACTCCTTTGTAAGAAGGTGGGGGAAAAAAATCCTTTAGGGTAACTGCTGTTTAATCTTACTGTCTTAATCTAACTTCCCAGTGAAAAGTCAAATTTAAGGAAGCATGCCTTTTTAGAATTTTCAGAAACTAAGACTTTTCTTTCTTTCTTTCTTTTTGTGATACTGGGGTTTGAACTCAGGACCTACACCTTTAGCCACTCTGCCAGCCCTTTTTTGTGAGGGGTTTTTCAGGACAGGGTCTTTTGAACTACTTGCCCATGCTAGCTTTGAACTGCAATTATCCTGATCTCTGCCTCCTGACTAGGTAGGATTACAGGCATGAGCCACTGGCACCTGGCCAGAAACTAAGATTTTTCATTGAGATACTTTATGACAAGAAAAGTATTACAATTTACATATCTTCATCCATATGCTGACAGAACTAATTTAAAAATCTGATACATATTTCCATTTATTTTCTTGGAAGGTAAAGATACATGTAGACATGTTAGCAGTAGGCCAAACTGATGAAGGTATTTCAATTTGATCTTATCTCTTAAAGCTCATTGGCTAAAATTCTCACTTTATTCCTAAATTTCCACTCCCCAACAATGCCTCACTTTATAGCATTTCCCTTTGCATAATTTTTTCAGTTCTCCTTTTCTTTTCACTCAGCCTCCCTCTTCCTCAATCAAAAAGACTTTGGCTCAGATTGAACTCATGTACCTAAAGGAATGAATAAATGATTATTTCCCAGAGGCAGTGATATTCTAAAAGAAAGCCATTTCCTAAGTGAATGTCTGGCCAAATTTCAGGCAATCTCACTAGATTTCAGGTCTTTCTCATGTCCATTTAAACATATTCTGTGTAATAACCTGGTACAGTGGTTTTCAAACCTTAGCAGGCACAGAGCTCTTACATCAAAGAAAATTAGGCAGCAGCCCAGGGTATAGAAGAGATAAGGAGCTAAACTACTTGGTTAAAGCAGGGATAGGGACCCCAAACCTCCTATGAGGGGGCCCTCCTTCTGTCAACCAGACATCTCTGCAGAGGTACACATCCCAGAACAACCCTGATAAAAAGCCAGCCCAGACTCTCACACAAATATACATATGGAAGGTGAAAGCATGATATGCAAGCAGATAACCCATTCTCCATCAATCTAAAGATGCTTGTAGCTGTGTACTGCAATAATAATCAGTCACTTTTATTTTTTTGGTAGTACTGGGATTTGAACTCAGGGCCTTGAGCTTGTTAGGTAGGAGCTCTACCACTTGAGCCATACCTCCTGCTCCCCAGTCACATCTTTAACACTTATGAATGTGGTGAAACAAGGAGTGAACAGAGTAGGAAATGCAGAGTTTGCCTATTGTCCTGTTTCTATTTCATGTTTGGAATTTCAGTGTGGGATATGGTTGCATTGTATCATACATATGGTCAGCCAAGTGTATTCTTGAAATCAACTAGCTCCTTTTGGAAAGTTGGTTTTCCCCTAACTTACTTTTTCCCTTACTCAAATGTTAGATTTGATCTAACCACCACAAGAATTTTCTGCTTTGAAGAGAAAGAAAGAATTCCAATGGTATTTTCCCAGCAGAAAATAATTTGAAGAACGGTCCTCTTTTTTTTTTTTTTGGACTCCAGACATGCATTTCTCATACCACACACACACTTCAAACCCTATAGTCCCTAAAGGAACTCTTTTACCTTCCCTCAAAACTTGTCCCTCCTCTGGGTTGATGGTTAATTCACTCTGCAATTGCTCTATCACAAGCCCAAACCATAAAGTCACCATTAAAACAATTACCATTAAGTTGCTGGGGCTTTAAGAGAAGCATGTCATAGGTCAGGATTTTTCAGCCCTATCCCTATGGATGTTTGAGGCTGGATAACAGTTTGTCCTGGTGGGTGGGGAGCTGTCTGTGCATTGTAGAATGCTTAGCAGGATCTCTGGCCTCCCTCATCTAGATACCAATAGTCCCATCCCTTCTAGGCAGCACAATAAAAAATCTGTAGGCATGGGTAATTGAGGCAAAATTGACTCCATTTGAGAACCACTGATGCAAACCATCTCCTCACTATACTCCACAAGTATTGAAAAGTCATGTCATGTTGCACAGATGAGCAAATGGGGCCTCTGAGGAATTAAGAGACTTGTTCTTGGTCATGTGGCCATAATATAGCAGAGCTGGTCTCTAAGTACTGCAGAGGTTGTGCCCCTTTCCTCTGCTGTCTCTGGTGCCCAGTTCTCCCTTGCCTCTCACTTTGTATCTATGCTAACCCTCCACTTGGAAAGTCTTGAATTTTGCCCCCTGCTTTCTATTTCCATGCAACTCCTTAGCTCAGATCTCTACATCATAGTTTATCTTCTTGATTTCAGGCTTTTCATTGTTCAATCTACCTTTCATATTGCTAGGAGCTAGCTTTCTCAAATAAATATTATTATATATCTACCCTATTGAAAAGCCTCTGTTGCCTTCCACATTGCCTATAGCACTGGTTCCCAAAGAGTGGTCTCCATTTGTTGGAAATACAAGTCCTCAGCCTCAGTCCAGAAACTCTAAGGTGGGTGCCTAGATATCTGTGTTAACACACCCATGGTTCTGGGTGCTCACCAAAATTTGCAACCTCTGGCCTACTCGATAGAGTTCTAACAGCTTTGGATGGCATAGCAGCCATGCGTCCTTTCCTACAGTGTGTTTACTACCTTCCCCCCTCTTTTCTCACTACACATTTGCCACCTTTCAACTTCATTCTTTTGTTAACTATCCAACATGTATTTGTCTTTCTTTTCTAAGCACCAAAAGTAAAGCAAGATAGTCCAGTTGGTGGCTAGATGACTGGGGCTGGGTATCCCTTCCCCAACCATACCATGGCACCTGGAATAATTGTACACACCAAGTCATTTTTAGCCACCAGTCCCTACCAGAATATCTCCTTCCTAGTGAACTCTCATTCTCAAATGCTTCTTTTCCTGAATTACTCAGAGGGTCAATCCTTAGTTCCCTGTGTGTCCACCGACCTTGCATCTGCCTGTCATTTCATTTATCCCATAGTGGCATTAGCATTTAGCTGTCTCCTGGAATACAGGAAGAGCCTCATGCACCTTTACACAGCCAGCATTGTGACTGTGGTGATCAGTGGGGCATACATCAAAATTATCTGAGAACTTTAAAAAAGAAAAAAGAAAAAAAAAAAAAACAATGCTGGAACTCATCCCCAGACCCATGGAAACAGTCTTGCAAATTCCTAGTTTTAAAAAATCATCACACCATAGTGGAATTGTTGTATAATGTCCTGCACAGAGCAGGTGTTGGATATTTCTTAAATGTTTGGTCAATTACTTAGCAAGGCTGAGAATCAGGCCTACCTACCCCTCAGCTTGTTTCTCTTTCTTTTGATTTCACTTTCCATTTCCTCTAACTTGGAAGTGTCTGCATTGTAAGAAACAGCCGTTATTACTAATAAACGGCGATGTTTTGTATAGTTGAGATTAGTTGATGACCTGTTCTCTGGCATCTCCAGGTAACACTGGTCACAGTCTCAAACATCCATCACATTAGGAATACCTGTTAAACAGGTCCTAGAGTACTTTCTAGGATTCTAGTCATTTGCACTAGAACGGCTGACCATGTTACCCTCTAAGGTGTCTGTGAGGCCTTCAGTCAACTCACCTGTGGCTGGGGGCAGCCGGCTCCCTGCAGCATCCCTGCGGGCGGGCTCAGCCCAGGCTGTCAGCCTGCCGAAAGGTCAGAGGGCGCAGGTGCGGGATGAAAGGGGAAGTTCTCTGGGGCGGGCGCACCCTGCATCTGGTTAGGGAGAAATCGAAACTCAGCTGTTAAAACCGCTGCCCTGCGCTGTGGAATCGAGACTCGCCGAGCGTCCCAGTCCCATCCGTCCCGCACTAGGGACCGCGGGCGGGCTCTGGACCATGTACGGCCGCAGCAGGGTGGTGGGCACCGGGCTCGGCGCCAACTCCGCCTCCCGGGACCCCGATGAGCGGCGCGGGGAGCGGGACCCTCTGCAAAGCCACGGGCAGGGCCTGGAAAGGACCCCCGGGGGCCCAGCGAGGGACACCTTGGGGGGCGCTGGCCAGAGGAGGTGAGCATCCTTCAACCTTTCTTGGGGGGCGGGAGCCCTGGCCCCAGACATGCTCCCAGGCCTTTTGTTGGTCTTTGGAGTTTGAAACCATAGGGGGCGGAAAACAGGATTTTTGAGAGAATGAAATATCATTTACCTAAATAAAATCATCCATGCATTACCTTACCAGACCTTGAACTGGCCAGATGGAGTGCTTTACTGAGTATCCTAGCACCTTATTGTGTCTTCTGACTGGGCTACAGGGTTCTGTAGAACTTGCCTGGGTACTTACTAATTTTCCAAATATCTTCAGAATTCATACTCTAAAAAATTATGAAAATAAGTTTTCTTTTATTGTTATTAAAAACAAAACAAAACAAAACAAAGAACAAAACGGGTGCCCTAAGTAGAGTCACTACATCAGATGCCAGGGTGAGGACCAAGAAAGAATGTGATTCAGAGGATCCAACTGGTGCCCTCAGGGGCAACTGGGGTCCCAACCCGAATTCCAGAGCTACTGGAAGCTTTCTGGGACCAGAGGAATGGAGCTGGGAGAGTGAGGACAGGAGCCACTGAAAGTTGAAATGTGCCCTCAGCAGAACAGATAGGTGGCATTTCTTCTTGGTCTTGGGTTCAGGGACTGCATTGGTGTCCTGGAAACGTGTTTTAGACAGTGTCAGTGACCCTCTCTTTCCTCCCAGTGGAAAGTGCTGTTTTTACTCAAAACTACAGTATGTAAAGACATTGCTGCCTTTGTAGTGCTGCCTCTATTGAAATACAACTGACCAGTTTTATTTTTAGTTTACCCCCTTTCCAGTGACTTCTTTGTCACAGGAAGGACAAACACTGGGTGCTAAGGAACATTATATAACCTTGTGACCAATAAACAGTAGCGTTTCTTCGTCTCTCAACTTTTGAAAGTATTATGCCTTTAATGTTATTCAGCTAGGGTGACCTTTAGATGGGGGGGATGCTCTGGAAATCAATTAGAGAGCAATGTAACTGAGCAGAGTAATTGGCATTGCACTACAATAGAGCCTCATTAATTTCAAGTAACCTACATATCTATACACTGCAGGATTTAATAGCAACACAGGTCATGGACACATGGTCTCATGCCCATCAGTGTTTAGTGATAAAAATCATTTACATGATTTTTTTCTATCAGAAAGCATCTATTTAGCTGGTCGTGCTGGCACACACCTGTAATCTCAGTTCTTGGGAGGCTGAGGCAGAAGGATCATGAGTTCAAGGACAGCCTAAGCTCAAAAAACAAATGAAAGCATCCGATTTAGATATAACTACTTCTTTGTGTACCCATGTCTTCTCATAAGCATTAGCAGTTGCATCCATCTATTTTCTTATTTGACTATAATTACTCCAGCATCCAGCTGGACCAAATTGTTCTGAGAGGGGTAGTTTTCCAATTATCCAGGCCTCGATAGCCTGAAGACTTCAGTGCATGATATTTTGTGATTTCATAGAAGACTTGCAAATAGTAAAGAAATTCCTGGAAAATGAATGCTTCCTTTTTTTCAATGTGAATCAGCTGGAGTTAGCAGAGTATTATAGGATACATTTCCTTTTAGGTTTTTAACATCTAAGATCTGGTTTGGACCACTCTGAATTTTTACATCTCTGTTTCTCACTTATGTCTACTGTCTCACTTGTCTCATTTAATGGAAGTGGGAAACCAACTTCCAACATCTCAGTAAAAATAACGAAAGGTTTTATTTATTTTGGGTAAAAAATTAGAAGCATTTTCTGATGGAAAATTAAGAAGAAAGCAAGAGCCAAGCACAGATGGCTCACACCTATAATCCTAGCTATTTGGAGGCTGAGATCAGGAGGTTTGAGATCAGTCTGGGCAAATAGTTCATGAGAGCCCATCTCCAAATAACCAGAGTAAAATGGACTGGAACGATAGCTCAAGTGGTAAAGCACCTGCTTGCAAGCATGAAATCCTGAGTTCAGATCCCAGTCCTATCAAAAAAAGGGGATGATAAGGCTAAGTGCTTTCCTAGTGATGTTTCATTTGTTCATTCATTGCTCTTATTTATATGGCAAAGGGTTGAACTTTGACCTTATTTGTATGCATTCTTCTATTAATTCCTTTGAGCAATGTATCCACTGTGGGGTTTAAGAACATGGACTTTCATGGTAGATGGACTTGGGTTCAAGTTCTGATTCTGCAGATACTTGCTCACTGACTAAGAGGCTTAGCTACTTATGCCTCAGTTTCCTTATTACATGAGATGTCAACCAAGAAGCAAATACTCAGTTAGATGCTGGGAGCTGATAGCCTTGAGTTCATCTAACAAAAAATTATTGACTAAGTAGTATGTTGTCACCCTTGAATTGAGTGTTTATACTTTGAAAAAACACACATTTAAAACACCTAATTACATATAAACAAAGTATGATAGTAAAAGTCTACAGCAACCACTTAAAATCAATGATTCCGAAGGACTTCTGACTGGCTGTTGACATGGCAGAGTTTTTGATGTATTTGGATTTAAGTAATTATAAGTATTTGCTAATTCGGACTCGTACCTGGTAATTTTTATCTTGTTCCTACATATTACAAACTATGATCACAGGTTTAAAGAGTGAAAAAGCTTATACAAAGTTGTAATGCAAAATGATCCTTTATTCTACCTTTTAATATTTTGCTCGTTCATAAATATTTTAGTAGTATATCACATCTAGATAGATATAAGACAAAAGCAGAGTTTTAACCTAGTTTCACCCAATTGTGAGCAAATAGATTTATTCAGATACTTGTCTATTGTCTTATCAGAAAGTAGTCCTTTAGCTTGGTGTTGTTTGAAGGAAATAAAAAGAGATTCTGGAAATGAAGTCATAATGTAGAATTTTACTATACTGCTAACTTTAATGTAATTTATACACAAATTCATTTTGCCTTAACATTTGTGGCTTCTTTTATATGGAGCATTATAGCGATGTAAAGATGAGCTATAATAACAGCAAATCCTTACATAGTGCTTACCGTGCAGTAGTACATCACATATGCTAACTCGATCTTCACAACTCCATAGTAAGAAGAACTCTATCTCAGCTCTGGATAATTTAAAGTATAGGAACAAGTAACTAACAAAAAAAGAAAACCTTATAAAGCTTATTATGTAAGTGACGGGACAGACATTTCTGAGGTAATTGTACAAATGAATCTTCATGTGTATTATAAAGATGCTAGTCTTGGGAGCAGGAAAATCATTCCAAAGAAGTGATGTTTGAGCTGGCATCAAACTCAAGATCTTTCTATTTCCATCTCTCAAATGCTGAGATTAGAGGTGTTCACCACTACCCCTGGCCTGTATGTTTGTTTTCTGACACCAAATATGTCTAACACCAACTAACTGTGTGACACCAACTGATTATTCTATAATTCATTATGACATTAACTACCCACAATTAGTGCAGTCCTCCCAAGTTAAGTGCTCAGTCCCATAAGATTGTCCTCAATTGAGACTGCAGACCAGCTGCAAATAGGGTCCCCAGCCTATTTGTACTTCTGCTCACTAGACTATAAATTTGTGTGTTCCACAACCTCTCTTCTTCCCTAGGTTTGATATTTCACTAGAATGAATCATAGAACTCACAGAAACCACTATACTTATAATTTATTATAATGTATCCAACTGGGAAACAGCCAAGTATAAGATATACTTGGACAAGGTACTGGGGGCAAAGTTGGAGGGCAGTGTGCAGAGGGCTCTGTTCTCTGTAAGCTGCCCTCTTACCACCTTGATGTGTTCACCCTGTAAGCTCCCCAAACATGGTGGCTTAAGATTTTTTTTTTAATATCGCCTTTATTATGCAGGTATATTGGCTAAATCATTGGTCATTGGAGATTGAATTCAATCTTCTGTTCCACTCCTCTGCCCAGAGTTGGGGTGGGGCCAAAGGTTTTAATCATCTAATTATATAGTTGGCTTTTTCTGGCCACCAGTACCCATCCTCAAACTACTAGGGACCCCTACCTTGAGTCATCTGTTTAGCACACAAAAGATGCTTTTATTCTGAGTATTCAGGTTTGGGCCTGGTGCCAACCAGGGACAATGATCAAATATTTATTTGTTTATTTATTTGGCGCTGAATACAGGCAAGCACTCTACCACTTGAGCCATGTACCCAAGCCTTTTTGCTTTATTAATTTTTTAGATAGGGTCTCAGACTTTTTTGCCCAAGGCAGTCTCACACTACAATTCTTTTACTTCCACCTCCTGAGTAGCTGGGATTGCAGAGCAGCACCACCTCATCTGGCTGTGAATGCCACAGTGTTGAGTACATATTACATCCTGACCATGACAGTGAGATACTACCTCATGTCCATTGCTCATGTACTTTTTATGCATATTGGGTAAACACACTTTTTTTTTCTTTCTTTTCCCTTGGGGCCCAGGGGACGTTCCCTACTTTCACTACTCCAACTTCAGTGCTTCTCACCAACTTGCTTGGGGGAAGGAAATAACTCACTTTTCCTTTCCTTCATTGCAAAACTCTCAAGAGAGAAGGGAAAATAAAAGACCTGGCAAGAGCACTTACTAATGGTCAACTCCTGACTGCATTTGTGTTACATGGTATAAAACATTATTTGAATAATATAAGATGGGATATAAGATAGGATAGATGATAATATAGTCATTAAGTTTTAATACTAATTCCATTTTTATAAATATCACAATTTAATGTAGATTAGAACCTTGAAGTATGGTTTCTTATGTCTAAGACAGAACTTCTTAAATCATTCATGACTCACCTTAATTACAGCTATAAAATAGTCTTAAATTAAGTGCAAGTTTTTACAAAGTTGTTAGAGACTCTAGGAACTGCTTTCACTATTCTTCCTTACTGGGTACTCTGGATTTCAATTTCCTTTCTCCATATGATTGTAAGAAAATAAGCTTTTTCCTATGGACACTAAGTGGTATGAAATTGTCCGGCTTATTACTCCTTCCTGGAGATCTTGAAAGTTCATTTTAGTGTTATGAAGTAAT